CTCTCCCTCTTTCTTCTTCCTTCTTCCTCCTCTTCCTCCTTCTCCTCCTTCTTTTTTCTCCTCCTTCTCCTTCTCCTTTTTCCTCCTCCTCCTTTTTTCTTCTTCTTCCTCCTCTTCCTCCTCCTCCTTCTTCCATCTTTTTCCTCCTCCTCTTCCTCCTCCTTTTTCCTCCTCTTTCTTCTTCCTTCTTCTTTCTTTCCTGAAGTGCTTGTCAGAGTGAGGAACTGGGAGTAAGAGCAGATCTTACTATGAGGCAGAAATTGCATGTCAAGAAATATTATGCAGTAGGTAGAAACAATGACTTAGAAACAAGGCATGCCTCAATGATAGAGTGTTTGCCTAGCATGGTCAAGGGCTTGGTCCCAAACTATGCAGGAAACAAAGCCAAAAAAGCAATAATCCCATTCAGGGCTCATGGATCATTGCAGAAAGACAGTAAGAGCCAGAGGAACAGGTAAATTGTGAGACTGTGTCTCTGAGAATTGCTGCCTAAGCATGACCTGAACAAGAACAACATCAGTAAATGTGCTAACGAGGCCTCAAACCTAGACAAAGAACTTCAGAGACTAAGAAATGCTGAGAGCTGGAAAAATAGCCTTCCCCAGGGAAAAGCACACTTATCAGTTATCCAATCCTAAATGGTCAGCCTGGAAAACACACACATATAAGTAATATTATATGGACTAAGAAAGTTATATTTATATATTTAAGAAAATATATACACTCATAAGAGCATTAATTAATAAAAAAAAAAAAGAGGCCATGAATTTGAAAGAGAGAAAGGGGGTATACATAGTATGATTTTAAGGAAAAAGAAAGGGGAAATGACATAATTTTATTATAATCTTAAAAATAAAAATATTATTAAAAGAAGAAAAATGTAAAAAGAAATGGAGCAAATAAAGAAAAAGCCATATGTAGAGGGGTGAGAGACCAGATACTGCAGGCCTGGGATCCTTGCCTGGGCTAACGCCCCAGACCCAGTCACCATGGATGTTAACCTGCTACTCAGGCCAGCACTCACCTGTCTGTTCCAGAGAGTCAACAGACACAGCCTTAAGATGTGTCCACCTTTCTTCCTCAGGGATCTTTGCAGGACCCTGGCCTTCTAGAAACCTGTCTTTAACAGCCTGCATTTAAGACCAGAAAGGTTTAAGAAACATTGCTTTCAGTTAGGCCGTGGTGATGCATTCCTTTAACCCCAGCACTCAGGAGGCAGAGGTAGGCTGATCTCCGTGAATTAGATGCCAGCCTGAGTGAGTTCCAGGATAGCCAGGGCTACACAGAGAAACCCTGTATTTAAAAACAGAAAGAAAGAAAGAAAGAAATGAGGGAGGGAGGGAGGGAGGGAAGGAAGGAAGGAAGGAAGGAAGGAAGGAAGGAAGGAAGGAAGGAAGGAAAGATTGCTTTCAAGTTCAAGTCCAGATGAGCTACAACTCCCTACACCAACTTCCACTAAATCCACTTGAGAACAGTGACTGCGGCTCTTGATCGAAGCCTCTTGTAAAAGGTCCAAATGGTGATGGGGCATGGGGGCCAGAGAAGGAACGTCTGGTCTCAGGCTCAATGAGCTCAGACCAGCTCACCGGGAGAAAAAGTACAGAGCTACAAGCAAGTAGAAAGAGGCTCATAGGGCTGTGAGGAGGCTTGGAGAAGGGAGAGCTGAAATGCATGAGAAAGAAACTTTCTCATGCAGGTCTTCTGTTCTTTACGGGAGTGGTGGGATGGAGGGAGGGCTTCAAGGTAACAGTGTTGAGATTCTATAAAAGGGACTGTTGAGCCACATCTCTAAAGAAGTCGACATTGCACAGATCAGATTACGGTCCGGATTCGGCATGAAGGGTGTGTTTTGGGTTTGCACAAGAAAGGCAGTTGACAGTTAGGTTTAGGAAAGACTGAAAGATTTTGAGCCCCAGATGAAAGGCTTCGATTGTGCCTAGAAGAACAACACCCCTCTTCAGTGCATCTGGTAGGCACCGAAACCCGTCGTGGCTGCCACTTCTCAGAGTCTTGAAGTTCTTTATGTGGTGCTGAGAGCAATCCAAAAGCGGCAGTTAAGATGAAAATGACTCTTCCTGCCCAGTGGCAAAGAAGGCATCCCGACTCAATTCTAGATGACATGTCTGGCACAATTTCATAGCTCCTGTTAAAAAGAAGTGCTTTTCATTGGTTGGCGGTGGTGCACGCCTTTAATCCCAGCACTTGGGAGGCAGAGGCAAGCGGATCTCTGTGAGTTTGAGGCCAGCCTGGTCTACAGAGTGAGCTCCAGGTCAGCCAAGGGTATACAGAAAAACCCTGTCTTACCCCCTCCAAAAAAAGTGTTTCTCAACCGGTGGATAATGACTCCTTTCATGGTCAAATGACCCTTTCACAGGAGTCACCTAAGACCATCAAAAAAAAATCACCTATATTTACACTCTAATTCATAACAGTAGCAAAGTGACAGTATGAAGTAGCAACAAAAATAATGTTATGGTTGAGGTGACCACGCCATGAGGCGCTGTTTTAAAGGGTCACAGTGTTAGGAAGGTTGAGAACCAGCAGTTAAGTCTTATGGTGACAGAGGTTGGTTGGAGGAAGAGCGGTTAAGAGCACTGGCAGCTCTTCCTGAGGACCCAGGTTTGATTCTCTGTGCCCACACCAGATTACAACTGTCTGTTACTATCTCTTGGAAATTTGACGCTCACCCCTGGACGCCACAAGCACCTGCACGGTGTGGCATCACAGACACCCACAATAAAAACAGAATCGTCTTTAAAAACAACCGAGGTGAATGTCCAGCAAATGTGCAGGACAGTGATCCAGACCACGAGGAATCCCTTCCTAGAGAAGGGGATGTGAGGCTGGCCCCATGACACGGGGCCAGGCCATTGTCTAGAGGGAATGAACAGTGGAATAACTCTTCACAGAAACAACGTGAGTGCTGTGTGAGCTCTGCGCATCAGTCTGGAGGGCTCGGGGGCTACTTTCCAGATACAGAAAGCGCGCTCAGTCGGGGTGCTGTAACCCCGTGGAGAAAGCGCATGACCTTAAAGGTGAAACAGTGTTCCGGCCGACCATTACCCCGTCTCTTCACCGGGCTCTGTGGACTGGCCCCACGTTTGCCAGGGTTCCAAGCTTTCCCTGCTCCCACGCGCTCCCGGTGAGTCCCGGTGAACACGGACCGACAGATAATATCAGTGCTGTGGCTAGGGTAACTGACCACTTGAGGGGAAGAGCCGTGAGAGCCTGGGCGGTTGCCTTCAAGCCCAAAGTGATTCTGTGTTGTTTGTGAACTCCTTCAGTGAAATGGACAGTAGTCACATCAGACAATCTTTCTGGCTAAATGTTATTTTGGGACTAACTCCACTCCAAGTAATTTAGGGACTGTTGGGAAAACAAACACAAACACAAAACAAAACAAAAACATTCCTGTGGTTGGATTGTATATAAGTCATATAAAGGCTCACTGGCCAGAGGAGCAGGTGAGAAGTTTTTGTTTTAAAGTAAAAAGTTGTGTTATCACCTTGTAAGGGACAGACAGCATCCATGCTGGATGGTTACAACTGCCGGTCACTCCGGCTCCAGGCGCTCTGGTGTCCTCTCCTGGACCCAAAGGCATCTGCGCTCACATGTGCACAGACTTACATGGACAATACACACATACACATAACTAAAAAATAAAATAAATCATCTTTCTCTGAAGGCCAGGTGTGATGGCACATACCTGCAATCAGACGTAGACGAAGGAGAACAGGAGGGCAGCTGAGACGCTCTGGACTAAGTCAGTGAGCTCACCTGACATCACACTGTGGCCTCCACACACACGTGTAGACACATGAGCATGTACACACATGCACAAACAAATAATGGAAATAAAATTTGTCCCCTACCAGCAATGTAAAAATACCCTGGAGTCTAACAGCTCACTTTTAGATTTGTCTGTCTAATAACAGACAAAGCACCAGGAAACAAAACAAACAAAAAGTCCTCCAAAAATATCGTTGAGTTCGTTTTGTGCAGGGGCCGCCCTTAAGTGTGGTTTGTACACACACTGAGACCCCTGGTGGGAAAACCAATTTTTCCTTAGCAAGGGCTTATCAGTTGGAGATAATAAACACAGAAGCTGTTCCCGGCCCTGAAGCTCTCATGTGGTGGTGAGAGGTGTCTCCTTTGGGCTTTGTCTCCCCTGTTGCTTGCTGATCCATTTAGAATTCTTTCATATATGTATCTATTTTAAGAAGCTTCTACCGTGTTGGGTTTCCACAGGAGCCCCTCAGATGGCCCTTGGCTTTAGCTGTGCCTCCCTCTTTCCCGCCTTTTCCCCCCTCCTCCCTGTTTGCGCTTCCCACTCCATTCCCAGCCCACCCCATCCATCCGTAATGGGTCTATTTCCCCTACCCAGGGAGATCCTTCTAACCCTCCCCCCGAGTCCATTATTCTGTAATTAACCTCTGTGGTTATACAGATTGTAGCCTACTTACTGAAGACTTAACAACAGCCACATATAAGCAAATATTTACCCCTTTGGTCTTTGGGGGATATAGGTTATCTTACTTAGGGTAATTTCTTTTAGCTTTCTTTTATCTATTCACCTTTGAATTGCATTCTTTAAAACAGCTGAGTAATATTCCACTGTGTAAATTACCACATTTTCTTTATTCATTCATCCATAGACGGATATCTAGTCTGTTCTCAGTTTATGGCTATTATGAATAGAGCAGCTGTGAGCATGGTTGAGCAAGTATCTCCATAATAGGATGCATCGTCCTGCGGGGATATGCTCTAGAGTGGTAGAGCTGGGTCCTCAGCTTCCCGAGGGACCACCACACCGACCTCCATCGTGGCTGGACAGGTTTGCACTCCCTCCCCCTCAGATGACTGCTCCCATACTCCTCAACCCCTAGCCCTCCTGTATTAAAAAAAAAACACCCGAATCCAGCCTTTACAAACTCAACAACAATCCAGACTTTCCGTGGGATATTCTTAGCCGTTAAGAGATTAAAGGAGTTAAAAGTAATGCTCCCTTCGGCAGCGCAGGCGCTAAGACTGGAGCAATGCAGAGATCAGCGCGGCCCCTGCGCAAGGATGACACAGAAATCCATGAAGAAGTTAAAACTAGACAGCAAAGCACGGTCAAAAGAAAAGTTGACGTTAAATTTAAAAATGCAGAACTGATTGTGCTATAAAGACATGGACATTTGAAAACCTGTAGAATAAAAAGCAGGTGTGTGTGTGTGTGTGTGTGTGTGTGTGTGTGTGTGTGTGTATGTGTGTGTGTGCACCTGTCATTCTTGGTTGTGTACCAAGTTTGATGCTGGCCTTGGAAACCCTGCTCAGAAAAACCAAGCAAGCAAGCAAGTGAACGAACAAACAAAACAAAACAAAAGAGAAACAGTTTCAGGAATAAGGATAAAAATGAGCTTTTGAGAAGTATAACAGAAAATGAACGCAGTTGAGCGTCTGCTAATAATTCAAACACAGAACAGCTCAAGGCAGCGAGGAACTAATAATCATAAGAGCAGAGATTAGCAAGTTAGAAAAACGTTGAAAAAGGAAAAGGTCACAGAACCAAGGTTTAATCTGAAACCACTAAAACAAAAATCTCATAACCCTGAGCAGAAAAGGGTGGGTTAACGAACAAAGTTGTTCGTTAACAAGAAAAAAGTGATATAAACAACACAGTTGACTTATATTTTAAAATAGAATGTATACTTTTTTAAAAAATTAAAATTAGAAAAAATATGTTAATGCAATTCAAAATGTATCTATCTGCGCATGCACAGCTTTTACCAAATGTTACAAGTGTAAAACTTGAGAACCATCTGTGGGGCAGTTCGGCTTTGACACTGAACCAAGAGAGGCAATCAAATTTAGGAACAGGATATAAAAAACAATTTTGTTTTTTAAACAGGGTGTCTCTGTAGCCTTGGCTGTCCTGAATTCACTTGTAGACCAGTTTGGTCTCAAACTCACAGAGATCCACCTGTCTCTGCTTCCCCAAGTCCTGGGATTACAGGCGTGAGCCACCATACCCAGCTAGGATGTAAAATTTCTAATGGGCTTTTTTCCCTTTACACTTATTTATTTTTATTTATTTTATGTGCATTCATTTTTTGCCTGCATGTATGTCTGTGTGAGGGTGTCGGGTCCCCTGGAACTGGAGTTACAGACAGCTGTGAGCTGCCATGTGGGTGCTGGGAACTGAACACAGGTCCTCTGGAAGAGCAGCCAGTGCTCCTAACTGCCGAGGTATCTCTCCAGCCCTATAAATTTTCTAAATAAAATGTTAGCAAATAGAATCCAACGTGTAAAAAAAAAAATACAGCATGACTAACTTGTATCCAATCCTAAGAATGCAGAATTGGTACTAGAAAATCCATAAATATAAGTTACCCAAAAAATGCATTAAAGATGGAAACAAAGTAATCCTTTCAACAGATGTAGAATAAAAATTTATTAATACATTACGCATTTTAAAACGAAAAAATAAGCTGGGCGTGGTGACACATGCCTTTATTCCCAGCAGTGGGAGACAAAGGCAATCAGATTTCTGTGAGTTCTCGGCTAGCCTGGTCTACAAATCAAGATCCAGGGCAGCCAGGGCTACACACAGAGAAACTCCATCGTGAAAACAAACAACAAAAAGAAAACAAAATAAAAAACAACAGCAAAAAAACAACAACAACAAACAAACAAAAAACAAAAACAGAAACAAAAAACCAAAACTCCTATGAAATTAAAAATCAAAGAGAAATTTCTTGGCCTGGTAAAGGATAATTACCAAAAAGTTATATAACTTGTCATTTGTTTGTTTGTTTCTCTGTGGTTATGTGTGTGTGCATGCTCTGTGTGTGTGTGTGTGTGTATGTGTGTGTGCATGCTCGCTCTCTGTCTCTCTCTCTCTCCCTGTGTGTGTGTGTGTTTGTGCTCGCATGCTCTCTCCCTGTCTCTGTGTGTGTGTGTGTGCATGCTCTCTCTCTGTCTCTTTCTCTGTCTCTATCTCTCCCTGTCTCTCTCTCTCTCTGTGTGCGTGCACGCATGCTCTCTCTGTCTCTGTCTGTGTCTTTGTCTCTGTCTCTGTGTGTTCACTCTTGCAAAGCCTAGGCATTGAGGTCAGGGCGTCTTTTCTCAATGGTGTCTCTACTTCTTTCTTTTTCTTCCTGAACTGGAAGCCTGCCGTCTCAGCTAGACTAGTTGGCCAAGGAGCCCCTGGGTCCTACTGTCTCCTTCCCGGCACTGAGGCTATAGCCACACTATTTCATATTTCAGCTTTTTTTAACATGGGTTCTGGAGAGTGAACTTAGGTTTACATGCCTACACGACAAGCATTTTTTTCCCACGGTTCCTAAAAATATAATTTTAAATGAAAATATCACTTTTAAAATTAGGGAAAATACAAAAATTCCCTTTAACATTGTTTAATACATTGTTCAATATTGTATTAAATATTCTAAGCCTGCACAATAAGCGAAGAGTAAGTAATGACAGGTACAAGGATTGAAAGGAGCAAACAACGTCATTTTCATAAATGATATACATACATAGACACTTTTAAAAAATCCATGCTCAAATTACTCAATAGTTTGGCAAGGTGGTAAAAACACAAAACTCTTATTTATTTATATAGACTAACCATGCGGAGAAAATGGCCACTAAATGTCCGCTTTCACCTCTCTGGGCATGCAGCCCACGTAGCCAGACCTGTAAAATGTGCTACCCGCCTGGCTCTGCCCTGTCTTCCCTGAGACCCTCTCCAGGTGCCTAACTCACTGCCACACCTTGAGACTTTCTTTTGGCAATGCACCTGTTCACCTGGCCTTTGCTCCCAATTCACCTGGTGCCATGCTCCACCTCAGGCCTCTCAACTACCCATGGGGTCCTAGCAAGAGAAAACTCACCTTGTCTTAGCACACTTAGGGTTCCCTGGATCTGCCCAGCCCACACTAATCTGCCTTGAAACTCTGACTTGTGGGCTAAGAACTCATAGCAAAGGATCCAACCAATGACCTAACTGAAGATGTCGTGATTCTATCTCAAAAGCAACATATATATATATATATATATATATATATATATATATATATATATATATAAAACTATAGACATGCACCACCACAGCTAGCTAATATATATGCGGTGGTACATGTCCATAATCCCAGCAAAGGCAAGAGGGATTGATGTGAGTTAGAGGCCAGCCTGGTCTACAAGCTGAGTCCAGGACAGCCAAGGCTACACAGAGAAACCTTGTCTCGGAAAACAAAAACAAAAAAGAAGATGATATGTCTCTATCAAAAATGACTAATTCCATAGTAATGATCAGCAATAGCAAAAAATTAGGTGAATTCAAAACACAGAATTCAAAAGAACAATTATAAAAATATTCAAAGAATTCAAAGAGGACATAAAAATGGTTAAGGACAGGAACAAATAGATGGTTGAAGTTCACGAAAACAAACAGCTGAATGAAATAAGGGAACTTCATTGAACATTTAACTTAATGAATTGCAAGAAATGCTGAAGAAAACTCAGACTAAAACTAAGCTGGAAATGAAAAATACAGTAAGTCTAATAAAAAACACAGTGGAAGCCTAACCAACAGAATATCCCACACTAAAAACAGAACATTAGTGCCCAAAAATAAGGCAGAGAAATAGAACTATTCAATAAAAAAAAGAAACACTTTTTTAAACTTGCATATGGAATATGCAAGAACTTTGCTACACCAGGAAAAGATCAAATCTATGATGTATAGGCATAGAAGAAGGAGAATGATTTCATATCAAAAGCATAGGAAACATTTCCAATAAAATTGTAGAAGAAAATTTCTCAAGTCTGGAGAAAAAGATCCCTGTTCATGCATAAGGAGCACACTGAACACTAAACAGACAAGTCCAGAGAATAAACCAGCATGTCATGTTATAGTTAGAAGATTAAATATACAGAACAAAGAAATGACATGGAAAGCTGCAACAGAGAAGACTCAAGTCACATATAAAGGCAGATCCATCAGAATAATATCTGATTTCTCAGTGAAAAATTTAAAAGCTAGAAGGCTGGGACCACCATGGTTCAAGTTCTGAAAAAACACAGATACCAACCCAGATTACATTACCTACCAGAACTATTTATCACCGAAGGGGAAAAAAAAGATTCTGATTATAGAAACTAACTAAAAGAGTAGATCACTGATAAGCCAGCTCTACAGAGAATCCTGGAAGAAATATCTCACAATGAAGAAAAGAATAAACACACGAAAGAGGTTATAGGAAAAAATAATGCGTGATGGTAGAGTAGTAGTTTTGCAAAGTAGGACTAAGAAAGCAAACATCACAAAATCAACAAAATGACAGCAAGTAATAGACTCCTCTTAATGAGAATGTTATTACTGGCCCCAGTTTCCTGTCAAAAGACAAAAGTTAGCTGATTGGATTAGAAAACAGGATATAGGGCTGTCAAGATGGCTCAGCAGATTAACAGGGCTTGTCATCAAGCCTGAAAACCATCTCTGGAATCTACACAGCAGAAGGAAAGAACCCACTCCTACACCTCTTCTCTGCCTTCCACGAACGTACTGTGGCATGTGCACACACACACAAATACACAAATTCACACAAACACACATGCACATGCATAAATAAATAAATGTAGTTTTAAAACAGGCTCTTTGTGTCATCTACAAGAACCACACATTACTGTCAAAGATAGGCACTGCCTTAGAACAAAAGATGGGAAGCAAATGGAAAACTCAGTGTTCCAAGAAAAAGGAAACAAGGGGCAATATTTTTCCAACATCTGGCAAAATAGATAAAACTCCTCAGAAGAGATTTAAAGGGGTAATTTTATTCTGAAAAGGGGAACATTTCACCAAGAGAACATTACCATTATAAACATATACTCACTGAGCTCAAATGGCGATTTGAATATTCTTCTTTTGTCAATAGATAGGTCATCAAGAAAAAAATTAATACAGAAAGGTTGGATATAAATAAATCACAGGTAACAAACCCCAAAGATACCTACATAATATTCTACCCAAACACTACAGAGGGCATGTTCTGAGAAACCTACGGAAATTTCTCTAAAGTAGATCACATTTTGGGGCACATAAAAAAAATCTCCC